GTCGGCAGCATCATCATCATAACCACCAGCATCAGTACCATCATCAGCATCAACAGCTTCAACATCATCAGTATCATCATCAGCGTCATCCTCAGCCTCATCACCATCATCATCATCATCATCATGCTCAGCTTCATCGGCAGCATCACCGTCATCAATATCATCATCAAAACCATCATCAGCAGCATCATCAGCCTCACTAGCCTCGTCCTCATTATCAAAATCATCAGCATCATCAGCATCAGCATCCTCTCCAACGGCAAAATCATAACCATCATCATCAACACCATGACCAGCATCATCAACATCATCATCGTCGTCATCAGCATCATCAATATTACCATCATCATCATCATCATCATCATCATCATCATCATCGTCAACAGCAGCATCACCACCATGAACATCATCAGCACCATCATCAAGATCATCAACATCATCATCATCATCGTTTTGCGCTGCAGGCAGCTCCACCCACGGCCCGAATGAGCGCTGCCGCACGCCGCCCGATGTATCCGTGGGCACATCCCTCGCACGGATCATGCCCCACCAGGGCTTCCGCGCGCTCGCGCCCGCTGACTTCGCGGCCCTCTTCTCCGCTCTGCCCCGCGGCGCGCACTGCAGCCAGAGCTGATAGCGAGGATGCGCGATGAGGCTGCAAGCCACTTGGACGCCCATGTCGAGGATCTTCGAGCGGGGCTGGTCATCGAAAGTGGTTGAGGATGGGCCGAAGATGGCCGGCGAGACAAGGGTGCAAGCGTACCCGTGGGAAATGGATCATCCTTGCTACAGCCGAACATATGGTCATGAAACTCATCAATTGAGAAACCTGGGCCAGCTGCACGGAAATGTCTTAAGACAACCCTGGGCCAGACTTTCGTGATAACGCTGGAGATAGATCGTACAAACGCAACTGGGCCAGCTGTTCGGCAAGTTGGTTAAGAAACGCTGGCCCAGCTTCTCGGCGGAGGTTTCTTAAGTATATGCTCGACCGTATCAGTGTTGGCCGTACGGGGCGAGAGGACCACGCCATGCGCCTTTCCCAGCTGCGTGGGGTTGGCCGCTTCGTCGGGCGACTCTGTTGTTTTCACCCGCGGGCAAGGACAACACTGGTTCGGGGTTCCGAGGGTAAAAAAACGAGCTCACGCTCGACACAGGACAAATAAATCGTCGCGCCCGTCGCGCGGAGAAACTTGCAGCTGGCAAGCAGGTGCAAGGGAACGGGCAATCCGAGCCTCACGACGCTTCCGCATGGCATGGTCAATGCTCATGGGACTGACAGGGCTCCCCTCGACAATCGGGCGATCTGCACGCAGCCAGTGAGCCACTCGCCTGACTTGCAGAAAGTCAGTACCATCGGCGCTGGCTGTGAAGCAGAGGGCTGGGTAGCCAGCGCTACCAATCCTGCGAGCCCTCTCAGCGCTGCTTCCATCCCCCTTGGCTCCCCATTCGGGGAGGAGCACCGAAGACTAGCACTAAGGCAGGGCTGAGACGACACGTCGTGTCGTAGAACGTTTGCCTTGGGGAGGCGGGGCATCATGGCCAACTCGCCAACCCAGGCTGACGTGTGGCACTGGCTGCGCTGCAGCAGGGAGCCAGGGCAAAATCTGAAGAACCTGCGTGCCGCAGCGCTGCCGAACTGAGCCGAGAGAGACGGGGAGGAGGAGGAGGAGGAGGAGGAGGAGGAGGAGGAGGAGGAGGAGGAGGAGGAGGAGGGAGGAGGGAGGAGGAGGAGGAGGAGGAGGAGGAGGAGGAGGAGAGGAGGAGGAGGGAGGAGGAAGGAGGGGGAGGAGGAGGAGGAGGAGGAGGAGGAGGAGGAGGAGGAGGAGGAGGAGGAGGAGGAGGAGGAGGAGGAGGAGGAGGAGGAGGAGGAGGAGGAGGGAGGGAGGAGGAGGAGGAGGGGAGGCGGAGGAGGAGGAGGAGGAGGAGGAGGAGGAGGAGGAGGAGGAGGAGGAGGAGGAGGAGGAGGAGAGGATGGGAGGAGGAGGAGGAGGAGGAGGAGGAGGAGGAGGAGGGAGGAGGAGGCGGAGAAGGAGGAGGAGGAGGCGGAGGAGGAGAATAAGGCGTGGTGGCGCACAGGCACGTCAAAGACGGCGCGAATGGCATGCATCGCCGATCGGCGGGCCACGGCAGAAAGCCCCGGGATAGGTAATAGACCAAACAACCGTGGCGTCTGATCACGCGCCATCCTCACCCTTCTTTCCATTCTTTCCAGCACATGAGCGGCGGGAGGAAGCGGGCCGTACGCGAGATGACAAAATGACCTAGCGCGGTGCCTTACGCGGGCAATTCACGCGTGACTGTCCGCGACAGTCGAACCGTTGTCTGCGTCGCTCATATTACTCACCCCCCTCCTTCTCCTCCTCCTCCTCCTCCTCCTCCTCCTCCTCCTCCTCCTCTTCCTCGTCCTCCTCACGCCTCCTGGCGCTCCGCCGCCGCTTCCGCTTGAGGCCACGACGATCACATGCACAACGCCGCCACTGGGAGCCCAATTCGCCGCCGCGGGGACTCCTTCCATCCATCCATCCATCCATCCATCCATCCATCCATCCATCCATCCATCCTCCTCCTCCTCCTCCGCCTCCTCCGCCTCCGCCGCCTCCTCCTCCGCCTCCGCCTCCTCCTCCTCCTCCTTCTTCTCCTCCCCCCGATCCCGCGGGCTGTCCATGGTTCAACGCCTGCTCTTCCGAGCCCGCATGCGCGCACCGCGGGCTGCCGTCTCGCTGACAGCCCGCGGTGACAAGCTGCCAGGAGGCAAAATGTGCACGCCCGCAATGGGCATGGGAAACACGAATACGATTCCCAACAGCAGCTGTTGTCCAAAACCGGCAGCGGCCGCTGTTGGGCAGGCGGCCTTCTATCTCAAATGGACAACATCCGCGACGACACCCCCAGCGAGTCGATCTCTGTGCCCCTTCTTGCCGTCCCCATTTCGATCGTCCCGGCAAAAGCTGTCAGTCTGCTGACGTCTGGGCAGGAGGCAAAAAAACATGGCGGAGAAACTAGGGTAGCGACGGGCGGCCAATAAATATTTGGGAAACTAACTTCCCCCAGGCGCCGCATCCTATAGTCAAAACTGGTAGTGAGGACGCGCGACAAGGATGCAAGCTTATGGGACGCCCATGTCGAAGCTTTTCGAGCGGGGCTGGCCATCGAAGGTAGTCAAGGATGCATCAAAGAGGCAAGGATGCACGGGTACCCTTGGGAAGCTTGCCCATCCTTACTATCGCTTTCGACTGCACCTACCACTGCGGCAAGTTCAGAGAAACTAGCGTGTGTGTGCCCGGCGCAATCGACGCCTCGCACAGCGATGGAAACTAGATTACAGACAAAAAGTTGGGGAAACCAAAAGGTACCGATACCGATACTCCCCAGACCTCTCCCGGCGTCCCGACCAGATCTCCGAGGCGATTCTAGCGGTGGCGACGAGGGCATCCCAGTAGGCCCACAGAAAGGAAAATGAGGGGAGGGGTAGCGGTATGGGTTCCCGCTCCTCCTCTGAGAAGCAACAGTGCCGACTGCAAGCATCTGAGAAGCCCACGGAGCAGCTCGCAGACGGGTCGCTTCCCCGCGGGTCTGCCACGAGAGGCCGCCGCTCTTCGCCCGGGCACCTCTGGCGCGCGGAGCCCCGCCACTACTTACCTCCCAGCGAACCGCACCGGCTTGACCCCGCCTTTGGCAGCCTGGGAAGACAGACCGGTCAAGGAGTACAGTCGGCCCGCATCGTAAGGATACACGGCGAGAAGGATGCATGGGCCTTGGACGCCCATATCGAAGCTTCTCGAGCGGGGCGCGGCCAGCGAAAGTGGACAAGGATGGACCGAGGAGGCAAGGATGAAAGGGTACCCTCGGGAAGGTTGCCCATCCTTACTACGCGTGTCGAATGCAAGGCGCTCAAGACTGGAGACAGTGATTTTGTTGTAAACTGTTTCCTGCCGCGCATGTGCGACTGCACTGCGTGTACACTGACAGCATTGCCAGCGTTTGAGACGACCCTCAAGCGCGCACTTCACGTCGGTGAATCCTTTGGGTGCAAACAAAGAAACAAAGCGGAATATCCCCTACCACGCGCATAACGTCTACTTCCCAACCGACGGCCGCGATGCAACAGCTCACGAGGAGAGAGAAGGAGAGGGGGGGGGGGAAAAGAACGAGGAACGAGATCAGTGGTTCGCTGATGGAAGCTCACGGCACGGCCTCGGCAACAAAATGACGAACAGAGGCTCAAAGCTGGTCCGCCGACTCAACCTGCACAAGCGGCAGAGAGACCCTCAAGCGCGCTCAATGCGCCCCTTCCTCGACGCAGCCGTTGAAGCAGGAAGCTACGATAATCCCTTCCATTCCGATCTTTGCCAGTACGTCCAGGATGCACAGACAGATGTCCTCGGTGGGCTTCGTGATGAGGCCCAGGTGCGCACGCCCAATACCCACGATGATCGGATAGAACGACCAAACCATAACAGTGAGCATCTCGAGCTGCTTGAAGAGGTTGGCGGCCACCTCGATCTGTTTGCTTGCCTTATACCCGACATCTACGTGGAGAGACACCAACAAAATGATATAGAAACAACATGAATAACCGAACCAAGCCTGTTTCAGACGCTTGTGCGGCTTCCATGGGATCAACGCCGCGATGATGCCCGTGGCGAGCATCAGTAAGTCGCTCACGACAACCATGATTAACATGGGGGTGGTGGCGTGCGCGATGTGGCAGAGCTCATATAACATCAAAGGTGTTGTGGTCATCCAATCAATGTAGCGAGCGATAGGTACTAAGTTTCCCATGATGACCATGTCTCCCATGTGGCAAGACTTCGCGAAATATGTCATTGACGCTATCGCGGTCACGAAGAAGGTGTTCACAAACGATTCCTCGTTCACGTGGCGTGCCCACAGGCAGAACATAATAAGGCAGGCGCAGGTGAAGACGACGTAAGTAATGCACTCAGCATACCAGGCAGCCTTGTGCAGCCACGTCGTCCCGTGATTCTGCGTCATCGTTATCCTGCGTCGGGAGGCGATGACGCGCCACACCATGCTGTTCGTAGGATCTGTTGTCGAGCTGGCCTTGCTGGCGGCACGCCCACACGCGCTCTGCTTGCTGGCGTCGCGCTTCCAGGCCGCATGCGGATTCTCGACGTCCCATGTCTGACCCGTAAAATATGGCACCGAGCTGGCCTTGCTCGCGTCACGATCAGCCTCGCCTTGCGCCTTGCTGGCATCGCCCAGTGCCGACTCCGCCTCCTCCTTCTCCTGGCCGAAGCTAGGGGAACAGAAAATGACATAAACATAAAAACTCGGAGGTCCGCGAGAATTTCTCGGATCGGCGCTGGGGCCCCCCGGCGGCGCCTCCGGCGCCGCCCCTGGCGCGCTCCGCGCGCCAGGGAGGGGGGTCCAGCGCCGATCCGAGAAATCCGCGCGGACCTCCGAGTTTTTATGTTTGTGTCACTTTGTATTCCCCTGGAAGCACTCGAAGGTGCGTGCCCGCGTGTCGCCCAGGCTGGTTGGAGCGCTCGAGGGCGGCTTGGAGTCGCGTGCGGAGTCCAGCTTCGCGGCTGGCTCGAACTGGCGGCGCCTGCGCTGCAGCTCGACCAGGGTGGCTACCCTGACGTCCTCCGGCGCCTCTGCGGCCAGGTCCTCTTCCAGGAAGCACGCCAGCTCGTCCAGCCACCCCTCGGCGTCGTCGCCCGCCAGCTTCCTCTCCATCTCCGCCCAGGCCTCCTCCTCCGTTGGGATCTCGAAGCCGGCCTTGCCTGACGATCTGGCGGAGCGAGGAGTGATGGATGGGCTGTCGGACAGCGGCGGCGGCAACGACCCCTGGATCTGCGGCATATCGAAAACGGGAAGGTTCAGCTCCGACCGCGGCGACGGCATGACCTCCACAGGTCCAAGCTTCAGGTCCGACGCGGGTGCCAATACCAGCGGCGGCGTCGGCATTCCGTCCATCGGCGCTTGGGGCAATGGCCCGTCCTTCATCGTTAATCGAAGCGCCGCGCGAGCAGTGAGGGGTCGCGCGTGCGGGCAGGCTCTTGGAGAGGGATGCCCTGATCTCTGAGAGGGGCTTGAGCCAGAAAGGTTACGGGCGCTCTAATCACATCTTGACTGAACACTTCTGAAGCACAACAACTCGGCCGACTGGGTGGAATGGGCTGTAGTCATGCAGAGAAGGCTGACATTATATGCTCTGGTCACACCCCTGGAGGACCAGTTCAGACTGGACGGAATCGATTCAGGTGAAGAGGTATGAAAGCGTCACCAGCAGATGCGGAGGCCGTCTTCGTGACACATGGGGTCTGACACGCTTTTGAACGGCGGTGCCCACACATGAACTTTTGCGTTGAACCTCGTTGCCCGTGCTGCACACACCCTGATTAAATCATTTCACGCAGAGGAGCTGGAACCCCCCTGCACTGGTTTGCGCCGACAGCGAGGCATCGAAACCCATGTGCACCAGGACCGCGCGCACGACAACGCCACTGGTGTGCAAGAGCAAACGCAGACTTCTGTAGTAATTGCACGATTGACGCTGGAAGTGCCGACTGTTGGCACGTGCATCACTTCGAGAGAGCGTCAACTAACATGCCTGATGGCCCCGACCCAATTTCCAAATGAACTCCTCCACCAGGCGCGCCCAGTTCAACACGCTGCGCTCCTCGGACGTCGTCAGCACGATTGCACATGAGTGCAATTTTTTAAGTCCCAGGGTGCAACTGTGGCTTGGAAATCATCGGGGGAAACGGCTCGGGCAGATGCAACTTACATCACTGACTGCTCTCTGCTGCTACTGTCAGGTCGGGCATGTCCTCCCACAGGCGGGTTTTGGATGACATATAAAAAATTGTCAAAAGATCAAGCAGAATCCGAAGGGTACGAAAAGTCGTCCCCACACTATTTGCTTAATATTCTTGGGCATTCCTCCTGTAGAGAGACATGCCCGACTAGAAGCTACTGCTCTGGACGTCGATGCGCAGCAGACCTCTTCGACCGGGACGGAGTTGCGCACCAGCGCGGACCTCCCCTTCGGCGTCACGTGGGGAGTCAATGATCACGCCGAGGAGGCGCAGGATGAGCAAGGATAGGGAACGCAATGGAGAAATAAACAACAAGAGACACCAGAGGAGACAGGGGAAGGAGGACGAGGAGGAGCAGGCCAACAGAACGAGGAAAAGGAGGAAGAGTAGGAGGAGTGAGAGGAGGACCGAGGATGGGCAACCCGCGGGAGGTTCGGCACCCCAGTGCCTCACCGCTCCCGTGCGAGTTGGCCCCAAACCGTTGTCCACCACATCGGCCCCCGAGGCACAACCAAGCAGGAGGTGCGAACCTGCGGCCCCGACGCTTCAACAAGAATTGCGCACCTTGCAAGCTCCGGCTCGACCCAGGGGAGGGGCAGGGAGTGCAGGCTGAGAAGGTCGAGGAACAACAAACCGGATAAGCTTTCAGAGGTCTGGGATCTGCGCTGGTCCCCCCTCACAGGCGCCCGGAGCGAGCCGGGGGCGCTTTCAGGGGGCTCCAGCGCCACACCGAGAATCCCGCGCGGAGTGTGGAAAGTTTATGCTTACGCTGTTCTTTGTTCTTCGAGGTGGAGGAGTTGTAGTGCAGTGCTGATGTCCTGTGTGGGTAGGCATAACCCTTTGTGAATCGGGTGGGGCACTTGGGCTCTCCCATCCTTGATCGTCGGTGCCCGCGACAGTGGGGAAGTCCCACCTGTCGCTAATGATGAGGCAGACACTCGTATACCAAACTAGACGCCTTAGACTTATGTTTTCGAGAAGGAGGAGGAGATGATCATGAAAAGGGGGAAGGGGAAAAGACAACAGAGCGCGAGGCTCTGACCTGGCACAGGGGAGGGGCATGAGAATGTTGTGGCGGAGGGAGCAGGAGGGACGAAGAGGAGGTGGAGCGTGCCCATCAATTTGCATGAGCTTGCCGACTTGTGCGTGCCGCCCTCGCGCAGGGGACATGCCAATCTTCTCTGCGTCCTTCCAAGTATGATCCCCGAAGGGAGCCCTGGAGGAGGAGGGAAAGGAGCTGGAAGAGAAAGAACTGAGGATTGGGGGCTGCCTAATGGAGGCGCGATGCACTGAGGGTCCCATGAACGTGGATATTCTGGGCACCTTCGGGGCCGCTTTGGACCTCTCTGAAGCCCCGAAGGTGCACGAAAAGTGCACATCTTTCCGCCCCGCCCAGCGAGCCCACCCACTGCGAAACCGTCTGCGGGAGGGACACCGCAGAGCACAGGGGCAAGGACCCGCACGTCCCCGCAGGGCCCCCTGTGTGAGGTAAGGTCGCCCGCCGCCCCCAGCCGCATGCCCTGGGGCTGTGCACATCCCCTGCCCTGGGCCTCCTGGGCCCAGGAGCGCTGTGTACGCCTTTTTGGCCTGGCCAGGGAAACATAAACACCGCTCCTGGGCCCAGGATGGGTAAGGCCAGGGGAATCGTGTGTATATATGTACAAATACACAAATGTACATGTGTGTGTGTGTGGCTGTGTGTGTTAGCCAGCGTGGACCCTGTTATACAATGTGTTTCAAACCATCGACGGCGTGCATCGTGAGTAGAGCAATCTGAGCGGTGCAATCTACAGGGTGCATTTAATCTTGACCGTCTTGAAGCTGTCCTCTCCACTGCTCGTGCAAACATCCCACCCTCCCACCCGCAACTTGGTCGCAAAACCTCTTCAGACAAGACCGTGACGGTAGGTACCACATGGCACTTGGCCACGACACCGACGCCGACGACGACAGCGACATCGACGACGACGGCGCCGCCGACACCGACTGCGACGACACCGACGACGTCTGCAATGTTTTCGACGACGACAACGACGACGACGACACCGACGACGACGACGACAACGACGCCGACGACGACGACGAAGACGCCGGCGACGGCGTCAACGGAAACGACGACGAGGGAGGAGAAAAAAAGACGACGGCGACAACGACCACAACGACGATGGAGGAGGGAAGACGGCGACGACGACAACGACGAAGAAGGAGGAAGGACGGCGACGCCGACGACGACAACGACGAGGGAGGAGGAAAGACGACGAACGACCACGGCGACAACGACGACGGAAGCGACGACGACGCCAAGACGACGACGACGACGACGAGGAAAGACAGAAGACGACGACGGCGACGACGACGACGACGAGGGAGGAGGGAGGACGACGACAACGACGACGACGACGCAAAAGCGCGCGCGCACACTTTTGTTGAAAACCCGTGTTGCGAAACCTTGTGTTTTTGTAGGTTGTTTAGACGCACGATTTCGAAATCCTTCCGAAACCGAAGGTTTTTGAAGGATTTCGGCATACGCCCGCGACGACGCGCGCGTCTGCACTTCGTCCCATTTTTTGCAGAGGGTTCTCGCGACGGCACACGCGCCAGGGCGTTCGACTCATTTCGACATGCGCGCGCGCGAAGCCCGTTTGGTAGCATTTCATGAAAATCCTGGAAAACCTATGTTTTTCTCAAGATTTCGAAAGAGCTCGCGCGTAAGTTTTTTTAGTAAATCAGTGTTGCGAAACGTTGTGTGTTTTTTTTATGTTTTTTTGGAAACTCAATTTTGAACTCTCTCCGGAACCGAAGATTTTTGAAGGATTTCGGCATGCGCGCGCGACGACGCGCGCGTGTGCACTTCGTCTCGTTTTTTGCAAGGAATTCGTGAACAAGTGCTATTTTAGAGCAAACAATGTCACCGCATAGTGTTTTTTACAAGGGAACCTCATGGGGGGGAAACTGGCCTGCCTGGGATGGTATGATTTCATATATAGGATGGACGAGTGTGCAGAATGTATGTATATATATACATATATATATATGTGTGAAACTATACGATCCCAGGGGGAAGCGTTAAGTCCGGGGGGGGTCGAGTCTATTCTCTTTGTAGAAAGGAGAATCTATGTGGCGCAATCTACGTTGTGCAATTAATCTCTGTCCGCAATTAGCTGTCCATTCCACTGTTCGCACAATCGTCCCACCCATCCACGCGCAACTTGGCTTGCAAAACCCATACGGCGGCGAATGCTGGGAGTTGGCTGGTGCATCTCTGCGACCGAACTAACCCTCGCATGCCCGCGCGCGCAGCGGCCAGCTAGCTTGGCGCGACCGACGCGGCTGCGGTGGCGCTGTCCGCTTGGCAATTTCGGGGGGGCACTTCGGAACGAGCCGGCGACTTGGACGGGCGCGGTATTACGGCAACGTCGACAACGGTAGGCGCGATGATGACGGTAGCGATACTGGCGACGATGGTGACCACGATGACAGCAAGGCCAATGACGGCGCCGATGCTGATCACGCCGTTGACGATGACGGCGTCCTCGCGTTTGTGATGAAGGTTTTGGAGCGATTTCGACATGCGCGCGTGGCCGACGCGCGAGATTGGCCCGCATTGCATAATTTGACAAGGATCGTGCTCCCCCCCAAGCACGCGCGCAAGCGCGTTCGAATGATTCCGATGTGCAGCGCGATGAGCCCGCTTGGCCGAGTTGAATGAACATGTTGAGCAACGATGGTTTGCTGGGGAATTCGCCGGATCGCGAACGCAGGCATTTGTGAAAACTGACGTTGCGTAGCCAAGTGTTCTGGTATGTTGTCGGGACACTTGATTCTGTAACCCTTACGAAACAAATGTTTGCGAAGATTTCGGCATGCGCGCGCGACGACGCGCGCGCGTGCAATCCGCCCTATTTGTTGCACGGGGTTCTTTGGTCAGCACCCGCGCACGGGCTTTCGAACGATGAAGACATGCCAGCGCGAGAGGCCCGTTTGGTAGGAAATTGTGTTCGCAAGAGGCCAAGCGCAAGCTTTTTTGAACAGTCTTGTTGTGAAGCCATGTGCTATTTTCTGTCTTCGGGGCATTCGATTGTAAAAGCTGCACGAAATCTAAAAAGGGCAAGAAGGATTCCGGCATGCGCGCGCGACGACGCGCGCGCGCACTTCGTCCCATGCGTCTGCAAGGGTTATTGGAAACGAACGGATTGTGATAAACGAATGCGCGCGCATATAATGTCTTGCAGAGGATGAAGGGGGGGCGGGGGGGCGGTTTAGCTGGGATGATATGGGCGCAAATTTAAAACGGATGATGGGGCAGGATCGCATGATCATCGCAATGCGTACAGGGTGTCCGTTAAGACAGGGGGGGCGATCCTGATGCTTTCCCAGAAAAGAAAAAATTACGTGGTGCAGTATCTGTGGTGCAACCTGCGCGGTGAAGCCGACGTGGCGCAGCTTATTTGGAAAACACATTGGAGTTGACACCTCCACTGCTCGCGCAATCGCCCCATCCACCCACTCGCAAGTTGGTTTGGAAAAGCAATACGGCGGCAAGTGCGACAGTAGGGGGAAACAACCAATGGACACTCCCCCGCTCCCCCAAACTCAAAGTTGGCACACGCGGGGGGAGACTGCGGTCGAAGTGCAACTGGTCAGACCCACCGCCAACTTTGAACATTGGGGGGAAGAGGAGGTGTTGACCGATGAATGTGGCATGCGTGTTGGTTATTTGTCCGAGGCCTGGATGAATGCTCGGCGTCGCTGGTGCAGCTCTGCGGGCGCGCTAGCGCGAACGTGCTCGCGCGCGCAGCGGCCAGCTAATATGGGGCGACCAACGCGCCGCGGCCGCGGTGGCCCCAAGGCCACGCAAACGGAGATGTTGCTTCACGGTGATGTTGGAAACCAACTTGTAGGAACGCACGATCCACACTTTCCTACATTCCCTACATGCTGATGTCTCGAAACGAGAACGACACAGCGAATTGTAGGAAAACACAAGCCGCGCGTTCCAACAATACCGAAACCCACCTCGCCGTTACCTGCATCGCCGTAAACGTGTCTACGGGTGGCGTTGACCGCCGGGCACTTCCAAGCGGGCACTTCAATGCGAGTCGGCGGGCTGGGGAAGCGCGGTATCCTGGCGACGTCGACAACGACAACCGTAGACGCGACGGTGGTAGCAACGATCGTGGTGGAGATAATGGCGATGGCGACGGGAAGGCCAATGACGGCGCCGATGCTGATAGCGCCAATGACGATCTCGACGTCCTCGCGTCGGCGATGACGGTTTTGGAAGGAGTTCGATACGCGTGCGCGGCCGGCGCGCGCGAGTGACACGCATGGTATCATTCAACAAGAATCCCGCCCCCCCCTTCCCTCCAGCGCGCGTAAGGGCGTTGAAATGATTTGGACATGCGTCGCGCGAAGCCCTTTTTAGTCGAATTTGGTGATGGCGTTGAGAAGCCGATGGTTTCCCCACGCCCACGAACGTCTTAAGATTTTGCTGGGACAAGGGCGCAGCTCTTCTTGTTTGAAAACTGGTGTTGCAAAGCCAAATGCGATTGTATGTTTCGGGGCGCTCGGATGTGAAATCTTCACGGGATTCAAGAAATGCAAAAGGATTTCGGCGCGTGCGCGTCCGTCTCGCCCCATCTGCCGCACGGGTTTTCGCGACAACATCTGCATCATCATCATCATCATCATCATCATCATCATCATCATCATCATCATCATCATCATTATCATCATCATCATCATCATCACCATCATCATCATCATCATCATCATCATCACCAACAGCAGCAATACCATCAGCATCGTCATGTCACTATCACAATCCCCATCCCCATCATCCATTGTCAACATCAGCATCACCATCATCATCGTCAATATCATCATAATCGTCATCAGCAGCGTCATCAACATCATCATCATCATCGGCATCATCATCATCATCATCATCATCATCATCATCATCATCATCATCATCATCATCATCATCATCTCCATCATCATAATCGTCTCCTCTACGCTTCCGCTTGATCTTTCATCGCCAACCTAGCCCATCCCTCCTTCTCCCCGTCATCCTTCTCCTCCTCCTTCTCCTCTTCTTCCTCCTCGACCTCCTGTTCCTCGCCCCCCTCCCATTCCATCCCTGCCGCTCTTCTTATTCCTCCCCCCTTCTCCTCCTCCTCCTCCTCCTCCTCCTCCTCCTCCTCCTCCTCCTCCTCCTCCTCCCCCTCCTATTCTATCTCCTCCTCCTCCTCCTCCTCCCCCTCCTCCTCCACCGCCTCCTCCATTCCTTGCCCGTATAAGCAACTTCTCCCTGTCGCAGCCCAGGGGGGCAGTTTTTACGGCGGTCCGGGCGGCTCGCCCGACATTTCCTCACCGATTATGACCCTGAAGCTTAAACATTGGCCACGCCTTCACAGATGGAGGGCAGGAGGAGGAGGAGGAGGAGGAGGAGGAGAGGGATGAGGAGGAGGAGGGGAAGGAGGGGAAGGAGGGGGGGGCGCAGCCCGCGATGTGTAGAAGCATATCTGGAAGCATTCCCCTTAAGATTCAGGTGGGAATCCGGTTGTAGAATTCTGCGGTTCTCGCAGTCGCAGTCGCATTCGCAATGACAGTCGCAGTGGCAACGGCCTTAGGATCCAATGGAATCCTAAGGATTCCTAGGGGTTCCTAAGGCATCCTTAGGCATCCTTAGGAATCCATAGGAATCCTTAGGAATCGTGATTCCTAGGGATTCCTAAGGATTCCCGAAAAATCGTAAGGATTCCTAAGGATTCCTGAGGATGCTTAACTATGCCTACGGAGTCCTAAGGATGCCTACGGATTCCTAAGGATTCCTCGAGATTCCTAACGATTCCTATGGATTCCTACGGATGCCTCAGCCAGCCTCAGTTTCAGCCTCAGCCTCAGCCTGCCTCGGCTTGCCTCAGCCTCAGCCTCAGCCTGCCTCGGCCTCAGCCTCAGCCTGCCTCGGCCTCAGCCTGCGTCAGCCTCAGCCTCAGCCTGCCTCAGCCTCAGCCTGCCTCAGCCTCAGCCTCAGCCTGCCTCAGCCTCAGTCTGCCTCAGCCTCCCCTCCCCCCCCCCCTTTCCCCCCCCATTCAGCCTCACCTTGTCTCAGCTTCGGCCTGCCTCGGCCTCAGCCTCAGCCTCAGCCTCAGCCTCAGCCTCAGCCTCAGCCTGTCTCGGCCTCAGCCTGCCTCGGCCTCAGCCTCAGCCTGCCTCAGCCTCAGTCTGCCCATCAGCCTCAGCCTCAGCCTCAGCCTGCCTCGGCTCAGCCTCGGCCTCAGCCTCGGCCTCAGCCTGCCTCAGCCTCAGCCTCAGCCTGCCTCAGCCTCAGCCTCAGCCTGCCTCAGCCTCAGCCTGCATCAGCCTCAGCCTCAGCCTGCCTCAGCCGCAGCTTGCCTCAGCCTCAGCCACAGCCTCAGCCTCAGCCTCAGCCTGCCTCAGCTTCAGCCTCAGCCTCAGCCTCAGCCTGCCTCGGCTTGCCTCAGCCTCAGCCTCAGCCTGCCTCGCCTCAGCCTTCAGCCTCAGCCTCAGCCTCAGCCTGCCTCAGCCTCAGCGTCAGCCTCTCAGCCTCAGCCTGCATCAGCCTCAGCCTCAGCCTCAGCCTCAGCCTCAGCCTGCCTCAGCCTCAGTCTCAGCCTGCCTCAGCCTCAGCCTGCCTCAGCCTCAGCCTCAGCCTGCCTCGGCCTCAGCCTGCTCAGCCTCAGCCCCGGCCTCAGCCTGCCTCAGCCTCAGCCTCAGCCTGCCTCGGCTGCCTCAGCCTCAGCCTGCCTCAGCTCAGCCTCAGCCTTGCCTCAGCCTGCCTCGGCCTCGCTGCCCGGCCTCAGTCTGCCTCAGCCTCCCCTCCTCCCCCCCCTTCCCCCCATTCAGCCTCACCTTGTCTCAGCTTCGGCCGACTGCCTCAGCTTCTCATCTCTCAGCCTGCCTCAGCCTCAGCCTCAGCCTGCTCAGCCTCAGCAGCATAAGCCCCAGCCTCACCCTCAGCCTCAGCCTGCCTCCTCAGCCTCAGCCTCAGCCTGCTGCCTTCAGCTCAGCCCAGCCTCATCCGCCTCAGCCTCAGCCTGCCTCAGCCTCAGCCTCAGCCTGCCTCAGCCTCAGCCTGCATCAGCCTCAGCCTCAGCCTGCCTCAGCCGCAGCTTGCCTCAGCCTCAGCCACAGCCTCAGCCTCAGCCTCAGCCTGCCTCAGTTTCAGCCTCAGCCTCAGCCTGCCTCGGCTTGCCTCAGCCTCAGCCTCAGCCTGCCTCGGCCTTAGCCTCGGCCTCAGCCTCAGCCTGCCTCAGCCTCAGCGTCAGCCTCTCAGCCTCAGCCTGCATCAGCCTCAGCCTCAGCCTCAGCCTCAGCCTCAGCCTGCCTCAGCCTCAGTCTCAGCCTGCCTCAGCCTCAGCCTGCCTCAGCCTCAGCCTCAGCCTGCCTCGGCCTCAGCCTGCGTCAGCCTCAGCCTTAGCCTGATTCAGCCTCAGCCTGCCTCAGCCTCAGCCTCAGCCTGCCTCGGCGTGCCTCAGCCTCAGCCTGCCTCAGCATCAGCCTCAGCCTTAGCCTCAGCCTGCCTCGGCCTCAGCCTGCCTCAGCTCGGGCATTCAAAATATGGCACAGAACTAGCGTTCTGGGAACACGGAGATCACGAAGTGGCCCACAGCTGGCTCCGGGCAATCAAAATATGGTACAGGAATGGTGTTCTGGGAACACGAAGAACACGAAGTGGCCTACAGCTGGCTCCGGGCATTCAAAATGTGGCCTGGGAATGGTGTTCTGGGAACACGAAGAACACGAAGTGGCCTACAGTTGGCTCCGGGCAATCAAAATATGGTACAGGAATGATGTTCTGGGAACACGAAGAACACGAAGTGGCCTACAGCTGGCTCTGGGCATTGAAAATGTGGCCTGGGAATGGTGTTCTGGGAACACGAAGAACACGAAGTGGCCTACAGTTGGCTCCGGGCAATCAAAGTATGGTACAGGAATGGTGTTCTGGGAACACGGCGAACACGAAGTGGCCTACAGTTGGCTCCGGGCATTGAAAATGTGGCCTGGGAACGGTGTTCTGGGAACACGGCGAACACGAAGTGGCCTACAGTTGGCTCCGGGCATTCAAAATGTGGCCTGGGAATGGTGTTCTGTTGGCTCCGGGCAATCAAAATTTGGCTCCTGGCACTCAAAATGGGGAGTCCCCGGGTTCCCCGGCTTCTCCCGGCACCCGCCCAGAACCCCCTGGGGAGTCAAGACGCTATCTTTTGAGCCCACTAGAAACCTATCAGTCTTCGGTGTTAGGTAATGTGGTTCTCGCCACAGCGCCGCGCACAATCGTTTCAAAGCATTGCATGAGCTCCACGGGCTGAGGGCGGCTCTTTTTCAACATGTGGCTCTCGTTTTAGCGCCATGCACATTCGCTTCAAACATTTGCAAGGGCTTCACGGATTGAGGGCGGTTCCTTTTCAAAATGTGGCTCTCGCTTTCGCGCCGCGCACATTCGCCTTGTTTTCAAACACAAGAGTTTCACGGATTCCCATGATCAGCGTACCAGAAACGGTGTTTCGGATGGATTCTGGGTTATGAGGGCGAAACAGTTACGTTGACTCGCGGTGCTGAGCTCCCAGGCATGGCAATCTGGCGCGATTCAGGATCGCCAGGGCGCAACAGTCAGGTTGATCCGTGGCGTTGGTATCCCGAAAATGATGTTTTGGCATGCGTCAGGGTCTTCAAACGGTTGTTGTCCAACGGGGCAATCCCTTCAGTGGACATGAAGCCTTGTAGGGGGCCTATGAAGAGGAAGCTTGGAGGGACGGTTGATTCCAACAGCGTTGTTGATTCTTGGGTTCGCACTAGTCCTTTTACATATCCTCATCCTCCCCCTCCTCGTCTTACCTCCTCCTCCCTCTCCTTCTCATCCTCCTCCTCCTCCTCCTCTTCTCCTCCCTCCTCGTCTTACCTCCTCCTCCCTCTCCTTCCGCTTCTCCTCCTCCTCATCCTCCTCCTCCCCCTCCTCCTCCTCCTCCTCCTCCTCCTCCTCCTCCTCCTCCTCCTCCTCCTCCCCCTCCCTCCTTCCCCCCCTGTCTTGCTCCCGCTGACCTGTAGCGCGCGATCTCCCTGACGAGGCCTTCGCGTTCCCGTTCCCATCGCTCCTCGGCGCGGGCGGGGTTTCGGGTGAAGGGGCCGCCAGAAAGGGCGACAAGATAATAGGAGGAGCAAAGGAGGAGGAGAAGGAGGAAGAGGAGGAGGAGGAGGAGGAGGCGGAGGAGGAGGAGGAGGAGCAAAGGAGGAGGAGGAGGAGGAGGAGGAGCAGGATAATAATGACACCCCAGAGGAGGAGAGGGGAGGACAACAGGAGCAGGATCAAAACTCTGAGACAATCACTTTTCTTGGTCAGCTACCAGCATGAGGCCAGGCACGGAGGATACCCAAAGGAGAGGGAGAAGGCTCGGCGCAGGGGCGCCCACCAGGGCTTGCGCTGAAGGCTAGCGCCCTGCGCCCCAAAAGACTGCCGCAGGAACGCATTACCCAGGACGGGGCCCAGCAGGACGAGAGAAGGGAGAGACAGCCACGACCGAACGGCCCAGGGACCCAAGGGAGACATGGGAAACCCGACCTGCTCAAATTCTGTCCTCGCAAGCAACAGCATCTGGAGACAAGAAGATATGTACGCAGACAGAGTCGGGGACCTCAGCTTTTCGTGCTTCCAAGAACTCAACTGTGGTCGAATGCGCGGGCAGGGGCCTGGTCCAGGCCTTCGGGGTAGATGAGGCCGGAGAAAGTACTCGGCGCCGTGGGCCTCGGAGCGGAAGCCGAGGGTGTAGGATGAGGCGCGGCGCTCGAAGCCTTGGGCCCCGTCGCAGAAATCAAAGAGGTAGGCGGCGGCGCGGTGCCCGAAGCCCTGGTCCACGGAGCCGCGGAGGTCGGAGGCGCGGTTCTCGAAGCCATGGTCGGTGGTCTCGGAGCCGTCGGGGTAGGGCAACGGGAAGCGCGTTACGCGAAGCCCTGGCTCTCGGAGCGAAGGTGGGGGAAGTCGTAGCAGGTCGTGACAATGATCGCCGAGCCTGCTCATTGTCAGTAGAGATGGCATCCGTGACATACACTGCACCACTCTCATGTGCGTCTACATCTCCGTCGAGACTTCGAGCCAGTCCTGAAGTCCGCGCTCACTTTTGCAGAATCGGAACAAGTCGCTCGCGGCGCGAATGTCCACCTGCTCCAGCTGGTGGCGCAGTTGGCGCCGGCGGCTCCCACGGCCGCCTTGCGCCCTGGCAGTCCGAGACGCAGCCCGCCGAATACCCATGGGCGAGGTGGGCCCAAGTGATGTCTTTTGCCCCGCAATGCCACTGGCCCCGGATACTTCGTGCTATTATCTAGCATCTTCGCGGCCTCGTGGCTGTTGGCGCCGGTCAGGAAGCAATCGAACGCCGCCCCCAGTCGCGTTCCTCTTCGACTGGCCTAGCTGGAGCAGGGACGCAAGGGTCGATACTTGAGGCGTCTATTGCGCTCCCTTCGCGACGCAGTCCGTAGTTTTCTCTCCGTCCTCTTGGGCTTCGGCACTGCGTCCGTCTCCTTCGCCGCCCCCGCTCGTCGCGGGCTGGGCGGCGGCCGCGGCCCCGCCTCTTTCCCGCGCCGGCACTTCTGGGAAGAACTAGGGCCCGCGGGCAGGTGGCCGCGGCCTGCGGCGCCGGCACGGCTCACGCGGGCGGCCGCAGGTCCGGGTCGGGGCCGGCGTCGCGACGCGGTCATTGCATCCGTCGGTGGTTTCGAACTCTTCTTCGCATAAAGTGCGCCTGGGATCTCGCGGGGCAACCGAAGGCCAGGGGGGAAACGAGAGCGACCAATATGGCAGTTGAGACTCTCCCACGTCAATCGCGCACGCTGTCGCGCGCCATGCGTTCTCGAGAATGTTGAGCGACGCCGCGGGCGCGCATTGCATGTCAATCATGCGCGCGAAAGGGTCGCGAGCGCCACGTTCGCCCCCTCGGGATGGAAGCGCGCGGGAAGTCGGGGCCCCGTGGGAGACGAAGGCGCGGCTGCAGAGGGCCCCGTTCTCATCTCGGAAAGCGCGGGCGAACGATGAGAAAAACTGTTCCGTCCGTCGGCGGCGCCGCTGTTCGCGCTCGCCCTTCCAGCGCGCGAAGACATGTTCTGCGCCTTCCGTCAGGGCGCAGTCCTTGAGAATCGCGAAGTCGACCCGGAGCCGCGCTTCTCGTGCATCCTCGGCATTGAACAGGGCGACGTACGAGTGCTGATGCTCGCTCCGTCGCTAGAACAACTTCGGCGCCGTCGATGCCCGCGCGCCCGCGCATCGGCGCCCACTTGGCGCGCCAGAGGTGCGGCAGCCCTAATTGGGCGCCCGCTGAGGCCCAAGGCAGGATGTCCGTCAGTGAGGCTACCTCGGGCAGCGGCGCTGACTTGAGCGTGGGACATGGGCTCTCGGGCCGTCTTCTGGGCCCAGGCAAAACGTCCGGCGGCTTGGGCGCGCCCGGTAGGGGCCGCTCTCCGCCTTCGTCGAAGGGCAGCGCGCGCGCGCGACTCCGGGCGCAATCCGCTCCTGTCAGTGGCCTCGCCGCGCTCTGCAGCTCGAAGCAATGTCGCGACTATCGCCCCCAAACGGTGGGCCATTTTTGCACAGAGAGAGATAGAGAGAGAAGAGAGAGAAGAGAGAGAGAGAGAGAGAGAGAGAGAGAGAGAGAGAGAGAGAGAGAGAGAGAGAGAGAGAGAGAGAGAGAGATAGAGAGAGAGGAGAGAGAGAGAGAGAGAGAGAGAAGGAGAGAGAGAGAGAGAGAGAGAGAGAGAAAGAGAGAGAGAGAGAGAGAGAGAGAGAGAGAGAGAGAGAGAGAAAGCGCCTGGCTCGCTTGCCGACGAACCGGCATTGACGACGCGCCCCTGGAAAGCTGGGGGCGTAATTGCCCGAAATACAGCCCCGCAATCGACTGCCTTTCTGGCTCATCGCGCACGCATGGCCGAGAATCGACTCCGCAACTCCTGCGTAGCGGCTGGGTTCCAAGCGCGCCGAACCCCAAGACATCCAGCCCGCGATCAAACCATGCGCTCCGTCGCCAACTCCCTAGACCTCTCGGTCTTCTGGGCCCCGCGGAAGCTCGGGGCAAATCTTGCTTATCATTCTTGAGAAGGCCCGCCTCCTTCAACGCCAAATTCTCGTCGCTCGTCTGGGAAATAGGTGGGCCCCCCCAGCCTCTCCGCATCATGCCGGAAAACCATCGAACATGTCGTCGGCGAACACGCTCGGCCCCCCGTCGAAGCAGCCCCGGAATGCGCAGCAGCGCAAGTTCGCGGCGTAGTCGGTGGACCGGGCGGGCCGCCATGCGCTAGAAGGTCGCCGCGCCATCTTGACAAAAATCGCTGGCTCCTCGCGCGGCCCCGCCAGCCCTCCGCGCCCGCGTCGCGCAAGCGGGTTCCGTTGATCTCACCGCGGTGCTACCCCGCCCCCGCGAATCCCACGGAGACATCGACCCTCGAAGCGCGATGCTCAAATCTCGCCCAGTCTCTGGGTAAAACGGGCGACTGGATTGCGCGGCGCCAGTCTTCTGGCGCAGTGGAAACGAAGGCGTTCGGCGCGTCGCGAAGGTCATCGAGGCGCGCTAGCTTTCGGCTCCGAAGCCTCTTCCCTGCACATATCTGAACTGCAAGCGCGCCCTCTCGGCGTCGGGCTTGTAGAAGCAATGGAACCCCACGGGCCATTGACAGGGTGGCTCTTGGAGGCCTCTGCGCACGGCCGCCCCGGAGAGCGCTTGCCCGATGGCCCGCGTCTACCGCTGGGAATCAGGACAAGGCAACTCCAGGAGAGATGGTCAGAAGCGGAGACTCGCTGGAGCCCTCGGTGCCACCAGTGAATCATTTTCAGACGCTCGCGAGCCACGCGGGGGAAGTTCGCCCACTCGCTCAGCCCCCATTCCTAGGCGGGGCTCGTCCGCCTTTGAAACGTAGGAAGACACGGCGGCCATCGCGCAGACTTCCGCGGGGGCGCTCCAAGCCGGTGCAACACTGTGAGTTTCGGTCGCTTTTTCAAAGAAACTCGAAGTGCCTCGCCCCTGCCGTCCCAGAACCATGCCTAATCGTTGGTTTCGAACTGTCGACGTCGATCGGGTCGTGATGCCCCGCCAATTCGTTCGCGAAATCGATCTCCTGAGCACTCGTACCTCCCTCGCATGGCGAACCCTCCAAGTAATTAAGTCATCCACTCCCCCTTTGTCGATATCGGCGTCGGTATACGGTACTGGCATGTCCAAGGTCCTCAGCATCTAGCAGCTAACAGAAAGAGGATCCGATAAACTACAGCTAATCTACGATGTCGGTGGGCTTCGTGTGCCTCGCGTTCGAATCGTTTCCGTCGTTCGGCTGGTTCGCGTCGGTGTACTTGGCGAAGGGCGATCCTGATCTCCTGGAACCTCCTGTAGTCTGGAAACAACAAAGCCTGGACCTTCAATCTGGCCGCGTACTCCCCCCCCCGTTCTCTCAGTCGCGCTCTGAATCCGGCTCGAAGTCGGAGGAGCCCGAAACGTCGTTTTCGTAACTGCTGTGTCTGTGGGTCTGCCTCTTTCTCCGAAGCTCTGTATCATTTCTGCTCGCATGATTTTACTATCACTGCCCACGTTTACCAATGTGTGTCGATGTCTCCTGTTTGGCTCAGCGCCAACAACTTGGCACACTGCGCGAAGGTCGTCTCGACTTCGTGCTGCAATTCGAGTCGTTGCTTGCTCTCCTGGAAGGCTGCTGCCAGTTGATCTTGGTCCCGCCTGAACGTGTCCAGCTGGATGCTGCGATGTCGAAATGCTGAAAACTCGATCGTGGTAGGCACGTGGTCCCTGGGACAAGCGCTACCTGTAAGCTGAAAGCGTCGTGCTGAACTCCAAAATTTGAAAATGCGTTTTGGCTTGTTCATGTATGGCCGCCGGCGTCAGAAAATGACCAATCATACTGGTAGCTTCACCATAGTGATAGTATGTCGGTCCTGCTCATCCAAGAGAGCCCCCCAGATCCATGAAGTCCTAGGGCTGCATCAGAGCCCCCCATACTTGGTCACCGATCATCGTCTGGTTGCTCTGATTATATCCTCCAAAATTGTCCATTGGATCTGCCGTCTCTGGGCTGAACGTGGGTGGTGCCGCCCTCGTGCCATTCCTCAGTCCAAGCCCAGTGCTGAAATGGCCGGGCGGGAGCGGGCAGGCGCCTGCTTCACCTGCTGAGTCGCCCAGCGTACTAACTCTCTGGACCCATTTTCAAGAGCTCGTCTCTTGCGGGCGCAGTCGTCCTTGAGCGGGGGGAGATACAAGAGCACCACCGTCAGGTCGAATAAACCTGTCGCGATACGTACTGCCAGTCCTCGTCCTTGTGCTGGAGTGAGCGGCGTAGCGATCGTCCTGATCACTTGTTTGTCTGAAGCCGCTGCGTCACTATCCGCATGCATGCCGGCAGTATGTTGGATAATGGAGCAGCTGTCCAGTCCGCTGAGAGGCCGTATCCTCCTCGCTCCAGATGCCACTCTTGAACTGGCGTGCCTGCGGGTGCCAGGAGTCGGGCGCCAGCTAATCCAAGTGTATCAGCGCGTAGCTCTTGCCATGTACTCTTCGGTCGTTCAGCTTCCACGACAAACAATGGGCGATAGACAGCAAGTCTGACAGAAGAACACATCGAGGCCTCCTAGATGGGGTCGGAGTAGCAGGTGGGTCGGAGGATCGCGCCGCATCGCCGATACATCGTCGATGCATCGGCGATGCATCGGTGATGCACCGGCGATGCATCGTCGACATCGGTGGTGCATAGGCGACGCCGACGTGAAGCAAATCGGGCCCCACATCGAGCCGCATCGGCGATGCATCGGCGATGCGGCACGCTCCTCCGACCCCATCTGCTCCGACCCCATCTAGGAGGCCTAGAACACATGCACCCCTTGGGCGAAACGCTCCGAGACGTCCCCTGCACCGAGATCGTGTCGGGGGCATTAGGGAACGGACTGCTGTACCGCATATGGATGCTGCACGGTGCGGAGAAAGTCCATGGAGCAGAAAAGGGGAGGAGAAGGAGGAGCGTGTTTCTTTATTGCTTGGGGCATAATGGGCATTATAGCCCCCGCCCCCCTCCCCCCCTATAACGTAACGCCCCTCACCCAAATGCGCTCCGGGCACTCTAACCGTGCGCACAACGTGGGGGAGGCGTTATATTATACCCCCCCTGGCTCCCCCCTACAATGCCCATTATCACCGAAAATAAGGGAACGCGCTCGAGGAAAATCACCATGAGAAATCGCAGCCCTAGGAAGCGATGAAGAACCCCCCTCTTGGGTTATTGTTAGTACCGACGCAGGAATAAGTAATCCACGGGGGCGGAACTAGCAGCGCATCGAACCGCAGACAGTAAATAATGATTGCCCCCCCGCGCAGAGCTTGAAACCTTGGCATCGCCATATACCCAAACTCCGTCGCCTACTCCTCCAGCTCCTCCTCGCCACTTTCGAGGGTTGCTGGGGACTCCTGAGGAGCGCTAAGCGACGGCCAGGTGCCAGGGAACCGGGGTAACGCTTCATGGTGCTTGGTGCGTTGTCATTTCACCGGAAATGGGGGGGTCTTCATAGCTTCACGCGGATTGCACGGAGGAGGAAGGTAACGAGGAGGAGTAACAGGAGCAGGCGGGGGGCGGGGGGCAGGGTGAGCGAGGAGGAAACGGAGGAGGACTTGAGGAGGAGAGGGGAAGGAAGAAAGAGCCTGCCTCGTCGCGCCAGGCCTGGCCCCTCCCATCTACGCCCTCGTCGTCGGCGTCGTCGTCTGCTTGCTCCTCCCTTCGTGCGTCCCTCTCCGTCGCCGAGCGCGCACGGACTGCCCCGAGCTGGCGGCGCGGCGCGTCACTTCACAGGTCTGGGCGACTTCGGGCTCCGAAAGTGACTGCGCCTCGGATCGCTCCATGGAGGATCACCTGCCTGCGTCACCAGGTCTGTCTGCGCGCCCGCTCCCGGAAGGTGCCCCTTCCTTCTTTTCCTGAAACTGCTCCTCCTCCTCCTCCTCCTCCTCTTCCTCCTCCTCCTCCTCCTCCTCCTCCTCCTCCTCCTCCTCCTCCATGCCCTCCCCCTCGCTTGCTGCTGTCAAGGCGCTTCGGTGGGGAGCACGGCGGATTGAAAAAGCTGTATCGCCAAATGCCAGTGTCTCGGGCTCCGGAGTTCTCGTCCGATTGTGCTAGGTTTTCAGCACGCACGCCGTCCCACGACGTGTGCGTTGGTTGCTGATTGGGTTTGCTGACTCTGCGAAGTTTGCGAAAACTGTACCAAAATTGCTACCCGGGCGCAGAGAGTTGCGTGCGGCACCGGCGCGGCAGCCGGCCGAGCAAGGTCAAACATCAACAGCAGCCGACTTGCAGACGACGACGACGACGACGACGACGACGACGACGACGACGACGACGACGACGACGGGGCCGATTTGGAGACGACGACGAGGGCGACGAGGCCGCCTTGAAGACGACGACGACGAAGAGGGCGACGACGACGACGACGACGACGACGACGACGTCGACGACGACGACGACGACGACGACGACGACGACGACGACGACGACGACGACGACGGCAGCGGCGGCGGCGGCGACGACGACGACATGGCGTGGACCTCGATGAGACCTCGGCCCCTTCCCCGGGGGCCGCTTCCCGTCCCGAGCAGTTCTGCTTGATGGCACTGCAGGGCCCGGCAGGCACCCCTCCCCGGAGGCCGAGCACGGCCCGCACGCCGTCGACGCCGACCCCGACCCGACGCTGGCCGGCCGGGCGGGCCGTGGGGCCCGCACGATACGGACGCGCGACGAGGATGTGGCGGCGCGCAGAGGGGGGGAAGGGGGGGGGGAGAGGGGCAGGCTTCTTCGAAGGGGGCTGCTTCTT